AAGATAGTTCAAACTGACTTTTTGATGCATAAAAATTGAAATTTGAGAGCGAATTTTTCACAGAATGTGCAATGGGCCTGTTGCAAACTTTTGCTAGAGCAAAAATAAGAGTTGTTTCTTATAGATAATGCCTCGAAAATCACGATGAGCGCATCAGCAAAGTCTGAAATGCACTCATAACTTCACAGTCTGCGTAAGAAATTTGCGGTTTTTTTAGCTTCCCGCTTCAAAAACGATACTACGGCACAGGTGAACATTTTGTAAGAGGAGTCGTTCCATCGTCGGCAATAATCATAATGGCCGACGCCAATCCGCCAAAACACGTTTGATGGGACGAGATAACATCTGAACTGGATTAGACCAGATAACAATCGGTGTGTTAACGTTCATATTTTCCCCGCCCGAATTGATTGACCTTGAACTCTCCTCGAATTACGCGCGGAACTGCGCGCAAGCGTCGGCCATGATGAATATCGCCGACGATGGAGCGACTCCTCTAACAAAATGTTCACCTGTGCCGTAGTATCGTTTTTGAAGCGGGAAGCTTAAAAAAACGCAAATTTCTTACGCAGATTGTGAAGTTATGAGTGCATTTCAGACTTTGCCGATGCACTCATCGTGATTTTTGAGGCATTATCTACAAGAAACAACTCTTATTTTTGCGCTAGCAAAAGTTTGCAACAGGCCCATTGTGCATCAAGACTAGTTTAGCCTTGAGCTCATTAATGTCTCAATTTTTTCAAAAACTGCACTTCTGCGCCTTGTCCTCCGCGCCTCTCGAAGGTTCTTAGACAGGGGTTCAAAATCTACATAGATCCACGTATGACGTGATCGTTGAGGATTTTCAGAAAATTCCGGTCCGGTACGAAAAGTCAAGCAGTTTATCCATCTTTTTTGGAGACGTTTCGAGCATTCCCGATACCGATTGCGCGTTGGCAGTAAGTTTTTGGAGAAATTAAAAATTCAGCGCTGCCATTTCCCGGTTTTGATTCCGAATTTTGAAACTTTTGAAATTTCTCGGAACTTTTGCGATTTCTCGGTACTTTACTCGGAATTTTCAAAAGTCCCAAAATGTCCCAGAATTTCTAGCTAATTTCGGAATTTTCTCGAAATTTCGAGGGTTTTCGTCAGTTCGGCCGATTATTTGATCTTTGGTTATTTTTTTAAAAATCAAAATTGACCATCTTCTGAACTACATCCGAGCGTACTTATTTCAAAATTTTTCCCGAAACGTTTAAAAAAAAAAATTGGAATTTTTCCGGAAGTTCTAGAAACTTGAATTAATCCCGAGAACCCCGAAATTTTCGGTGAAATAAAATGGCAGTAAGTACTGAAAATTTTTTTAGATACAAACGAAGTTTTTGACATGAATACAACGGCATTCATAAACGTCAGTACTTAATTTGAGACAGGCGAAAAGCTAAGATTTTCCTTCATTTTTGCTTGATACCACATACCTACTCCGGAGTTCGAATAGTTGCGCGCCTGGTGTCCGCTTTGACCAGTGTCGATTCATAAAATAGGTTTAAACCAAAATCCACGAATATTAAAAAAATACGCAATCTACCCAGGGGGTTCTTGAAAACATAATAAATTATACGTGGTTTTCATCTTAGTATCTCGAAAATATGCAGAATCTCCAGTGGTTTTTGTCAGAAAGTGAGCGATTACGCGTTTATCATTCTATATCGCGGCTAATGCGCGACTTTTCCAGTGATTTTGCAAAAACATAAAAATACGCATAAATCGCCTCAAGATCGCGGCAAAAATAGTCGATAGTTCGAAAGTTACGCACTAAATTTCCAATTTCACGATGTGAGCACAATACCAACATTCATGAACGTCGCTCAATTGAGACAGACGAAAAGCTATGAATTGTGGGATTTTAAAATGATAAAACGTTTTTCGCACTCACTTGCACATAAGTTTTAAACCTTTGTGCCATATTTGGTCAACAAGTGAGAATGCAAAAATTTTATTCATTTTAATATTGGACTTGTATAGTATCCGCAAAAGTTTTTCAGCTAAGATTTTCCTTCAATTTCGAGTGATACCACATACCAACACCAAAGTTCGAATAGTTGCGCGCTTGAATTCCGCATTAAGCGGTGCGAGAATAATACATACGTTCATAAACGTTGATAATTTGAGACGGGCGAAAAGCTAAGATTTTCCTTCATTTTCGCGTGATACCACATACCTACTCCGGAGTTCGAATAGTTGCGCGCCTGGTGTCCGCTTTGACCAGTGTCAATTCAAAAAACGTTTTTATGCCAATATCCGCGAACATTCCAAAACCACACGATTTTCCAAGCATTTTTATAAAACCATTGGAAGTTATGCGCGATCCTCAACTCAGTAACGCGGCAAATACGTGATTTTTCCCGAGGTTTTGTAAAAAAAAATGAGACACTATGCGTTTTTCATCTCAACTTAGAGGCATATACGAGATTTTTCCAGTGTTTCGGTGAAAACTGTTAGATAAACACAGGTTATGGGAGCTGATTCAGGGTATCTAGTTTTTTTTTTCATTTTGGAAAATCCTGATTATTCCTGATTTTTGACCGCTAAGTAAATCCTGATTTCATAATTTTCCCAAATCCTGATTTTTTGCGGAGAAAAATTAACGGACGGATAGCGGATAATCAACCGGAAAATAACGGACGGCCGACTTTTCTCAAATCCTGACTCTACGACCAATTTTTCCTCAAATCCAGATTAAATCGGGATTAAATCCTTATTGACCTCATATCCTGATAGAATCGGGAAAAATCCTGATGCTAGACACCCTGCGATTACTGAGTAAGGGTGAGAGGTAAGGCTTCAGACACAGGATCGCCCCCCGTGGAGGATAGGGGATTTGAAGTTCAAAAAAAATAAATACAATAGAAAAAAAACTTGAGGCTGCGTGACGACGGTTAAAACCGTAATGTGTAGGTTGCTACGACTGAAATTCCAAATGAGATACTGTCATTACACTAGACCAACTCTCACGATTCGTTGAATAACACTTGGATCCGCCGGCCCGCTTTGTATCGTGAAATGTTGCGAAACATCAAAACGCGAAACCGCTACCGGGTCTGGAGTCCGAGCCGAGGTCCACTGCAATTAGGTAAAACGCGCGTATCCACCTACAGAATGCGGATGGAGGATGGTGATTAAGCCGTCGAAAATCGATCAATCGCCAGGTCGATCGAAAAAAACCGTACAATTTTCGAAAAACGGCGCGCGTAGGTACCTACTAGAATCGGGAGTATTTCCGCGAGGGCGGGCACTCGGATTAGGACTGTTATAATTCCGTCCTAAGGGAAAATGCCGTATGAGCCTTCAGGCGTGGCCTTTCCCTTGATGAAATACGAATTTCCTGGTGGACGTATGAATATTTTTCTATCAATTTTTCAGATAATTTTACTCGCAATTCCACCGAAAACTCCTAAAAATTTCAAGGGAAAATATTCGTAAGTTTCCTCGAAAATGAACATTGTTTTGACCACAATTGTTTTGATTGGAGTAAACTTGTATGCGAAACAATTAGACAGTAGAGGATTCATACAAATTAAGTTTTATCATTATTATTTTATTTTAAACTCCTATATGATATTCATCATATTGGAGTCCTAATTTCAACGATCAACAAATCTACTTGGCAGTTCCTGTGCGGAACAAACTATTTAATTTTAGTTTCAGTAAATTACAATCACAACTAGTTAAAAGCTCGTGGCTTGTGCTGTTGCGGTAAAAAATCGACGGTGAAACTACCAAACCACGTATCTCGTTTGCGGTGATTAAAAATCTACGCTCACATTTTATTTTTTTGAAGTAGACCAAATCAATATAATTCCTTGAAATTTTCACCGAATATTCTCCGCACGAAGAGGAAAAATCACGGAAATTTTCAAGACTGGACGTTAAGTAGTTTTTCATTTAAAAAATAAAGTATGACAGGAAGTTTGCGACGTCGCAAACCGAGATACGTGGTTTGGTAGTTTCACCGTCGAAATATGAGGACATAGTTTCCTTGAGGTACCAGCAAAAACAAGCTCATACGGCTCTACTACAATGAGTTGATACTTGTTTACTTTCCGTTTGCAAGTAACTGTGCTGCCAACATCCAGTAGGAATTGCAGATGGACCGGGGACAATGATGCAACCGCACAAAAATATGTGGAACAATCTGACAATTATGACACAGGAGCCCCATTTGAAAGGAGCAGGCTAGAGAAAACCTTCTTCTCCTGTTGCCCAGGCGAGAAGCGGAGTGAAAATGTCGCTTCTTTGCCCGGCCCCACAATTTCCTGACATGGTGCCTCTGGTGTGAGTCACCAGAATGACTGAATGCCAGCTTAAGTATCTGATACACTCTCCATCAAATAATAAATGATCTTGTCTTTCAGTGATTCACTCTTTACGCAATGATCGTCGAAGTCATAGTTTTGACTAAACCGTTAACCAAATTTGTTTACTGTAAAAACTTTTGACAGCCTTAATATATTTCCATAGACACTTAGAAAAAATGCTTCTAGCAGTTTGATGCAATTTTCAATACCTACCTAAGTAATATGGGTATTGAATGACAAACCTAAGCCAATTTAAATCAAATTACACCCGCTTGGTGAGGGAGCTTGCGGCCAAGTATGAACAAATGATGTATGGAGGAGCTTCTAAAACCTGTTCGGGAAGTAAACAGTGAGCTCAAAAATATCAAGCTAGTAAAGCGAGCTTTTGAATGTAGGGCTGCCTCAGGCGAAACAAGGGAGTTTTAACGTTATAGGCATGTGAGCAGATACTCAAAAAGACTAGTTGACTGGGATTTGAGTGACAGATAGATGAAGTCAATAAAAAGGATGGGTTTATTGACAGCTTCTCCATACATCGTCTGAAAATAGAAGTGGCTGGCCGAATGCCCAGCTAAGAGAAATTGATCAATCCATCCTAATATGCTACTGAGTAGTGGATAATTAGACATGTGTGGTGCCAATCAATGTAAACAAAAGACTTGCCTAGGAATGCAGTTCGGTGGTGTTCGATCAACTTCCCAAGTTGCGAATAATTTCATTGGAACAGGCTTCAGACCGATAACATTCGGGGGAGGTTTCCCAGACTTTTCCGCCATGGTTTCAACGGTATGCGGATCGCACAATAACTGAAAATCTTATCACTTTACTGCCGAAACATTTTGAAATACACTATCACAAACGGCGGCAGGCGCGAGACGCGGCCGACACTCATTGGAACGGAGTCCAGCGAAAACTATTCGTTTTTCCAAGTCGTTGCTCGAGAAAAAACGGACGAACAAACAAAAACAGCCCCGTCTTGCATTGTTGATAGAGGCGCGACACTAGCGCCGGCGGAACCAAGTGCAGCATATTTACACTTCAGTTTACAGCTTCGCACACAGGGGTGCAGCACTCTCAGGCTCGTATTGAAACTCCGAGATTTCAAGAAGTAAGTTATTGGCCCATTCGTAAAAACACGTATTTGCACAGGGAAATAGGTGGTACGTGCGTTATTTCTAAACTGAGCCAGAAATTGTGGCTCTTTATGGCAAATTGCAATCTAATTAAAAAAATTTTCATATCAGATTTATTAGAAAAATCACAGTTCTAGGTCCCTTCTCCTGTTTACAAGCTATGGGTCTCCGAGAATTTTGGCTTGTGAGCAGGTCCCTCTGATAGATTCATAGAGTACAAGATAGATTTCTCCGGTGTTTGTTGCATTTAGTTTTATTTCCCTTTTAGCCTTTGAATTATTCAGTTGATAAAATAGGCGAAAGTGGTTATCTACATATTCCAAAACCGAAATAGTTGCGTCTCCATGAAGCATATTACAAGATAGGCGAAAGTCGAGGGATCGACCATTTTATTTCAATAAAGGGGGGGAGGGGGGCGAGGGTCAGGCTAGTCTTATGTAATTTTGACTGAATACAGGAAAAGGGATCTTATAGTCCCAGGGAGAAAAATTTTGGGTACGTGTAGAAAGTTTTGTTGAGACGAGTCAAAATATCGGATTTGTAGATATGTAGGTAAAGAAAACACCAGGGGACACTTTTAGGTGAAGTTTTCTTTTGCGGCGCTGTATTGGCTAAACTAGCTTTGAACTTAATCTAAAACTTTAACTAGAGAATTGTTCCATCTCAAGCCGTTCAAACGTGGATTTGAACTAAATTCCTGAGGTTTTTAAGAATGAGCACAACACGGCACTTTTCTCTCTGGCTCTTTATTTAATGGTGATGTTTTCCACTTGCAAGTGTTTGGGACATTTTCTGCCAACAAAATTTTAATCCCAGATATCAACAGTCTAAGTCAGCAATCACATAACTCCATTTGCAACGTCACAGACTTCCTGTAATATTTTATTTTTTAAACGGAAAACTACCCAATGGAAATTCTTTAAAACTGTCATGCTTTTTCTTCTCTGTGCGAGTAAAATTCTGCAAAAACTTTAGAGAATAATGTCGATTTGTTCTCCTTTAAAAAAATAACATAGAGGCGGAAATTTTCAGACACCGCAGACAAGATGTGGGATTGCGGACTATTGCTGTCGAAATGTTATGATGTAGTCTCAGTGCATGTCAAATATTAAACATGGGTAAAATCCTACACTAAGGAAATGAGATTGGTCCATTAAGTTGCTTACAGATACGGGAAGGGATAAAAGGATTGCTAACGGTGTGGCAATAAAATTAGATACTTTACTTTTACTTGAGGTTAAGGTATCTTTTTTCCAACTCAAGCTTCAAATTTTCAGGTACAAGGCTCTTAAATTACTTTTCCTCCTACTCTAATTCCAGCTTAATTAAGATTTCTTTCACATGATAACAAGGGTGCAGAAAATGATCGATTCCATGATTCTAGGCTCACAGCTCACAGCATATAAGTGGCAATTTTGGTTTGAGAAGGATTTTAAAAAACGAATACCTCTATTTCTTTCCTTCTCGACACTTTAAAAACATTAGGTAAAACGCAAATTTTACCATCTAATCAGATATTGAGCTGGAACATCAGACTATTGGCCTTGAAACAGAATGGAAATATGACTGCGCAGGGCAAAATCTTCAGACTGCAGCAAACGAACAGCTCTGTGGAACTTTCTGCACCCCTACATGACACATGGATTGATTTGCTAATTATTAGATCATTTCCGTTTCTCAGAAAGTTTGTTCGCATTACATTAGAGAAAAACAAATTTAGGAGAATCTTATGAAAAATAAAAATAAAAAGAACTGCAAAATTCAATCTTGAATTGAATTGGCAGTTAGATAGATGAAAAGAGGGAACAAATTAAAATAGGAATTTGGACCCGTGAAACATCTTAAGAAAATTTACTAAAGCACAGGGGGAAACAATACATTGTATGAAGTAATTAAGATATAAAATTTTTTTACAATGATGTCATAGCACTTGTCTGGCAGTGACAGATTGGAAAAAAGCGTTTGCCCCCTAGGTGCAGTCTACGACCCAAAAAGTGACAACTGAAGGGCAGAATTGGGTGAGCGAATTGCTCTTTCATTTAATCATTTAAGTATGGGTTAAAATGCAAGTGTTTAGGTTCATTCAAAGGACACAGGCTCGCCGTAGCCAATTACCTCTTAGACAATGGATCGAGCTACGTCTCAGCCGCCACTCTCCATATCATATTGTTCTTTGAATGAGTTTAAGAAGGGTGAAGAAATGGGTGGAAAAACTTGAAGAATAATCTTGTTTCCAAGGAAGAAAAATGATCGGAAACTTGGGGTTACTAAAATAAAGCATCATTCAAATTTTCAGTATCAAAATATATTATCATAAAAACAGTTATACATTTTTTTTCTATTTTCTCATCTTTTTTTCCCTTTTTTTCATGTTTTTACAATGTTTAAGAGTCATACAGAGTGGATCATGGTCTTAAATATAAACTTCATCAAAAATTGATTCGATGATTGAACGCAAACAAATACGTTTGAAAGCCAGAAAAGAAAAAGAAAAAAAATTGTGACAAAAGACTATAGCTATTGATTGGTTGCCCAAAAAATGATCAGATAAAAAAATTACAGAAAAAAATAATAAATAAATAAATAAATAGAAAGGTATAGGAATAATAAAAATTACACCTAACAAAGAACTCAATTAAAATAACACCTGCACCCAAATCGGAAGTTTCACCTATTCATTTAGGGTTCGTTGAAGTAAAACTGACTTACAGAATACGATAATTGTATAACATACAAAGAAAGGGAGGGGGGAAAACAAAAGGAGATGAAGAAAACAAGAATAAAGCAAACAAAAATATAGTTTTAAGTCACTCTTCTTCTCCTTCTATTCAAATTTTTACATTAGTGATAAAATATACGATGATATTATGCGAAATATGCAGCATAAAGAGGGAGAGGATCGCTAACAAACACGGTTTGACTCACCTGCTTGAACATGACGAAGTTTACATTCAGTTTTAAAAAAATAAAAAAATAATAAATAAAATGTATCTGCTAGACTAAAATAATGTTTTATGATAAAAAAAATTAGTGATTTTGGATGTAAAATTACAGGGTAAGAAAGATTTATTCGCACAGCAATGAATCACTGAAACAGACAAAATGAGAAAGCGTTACTACTGATGGTTCCCAGTAATGCTGAAAAGCAGAGGAAATCTTTGAAACACAAACTGATTGCGGTGGACGCACAATATAAAGACGGATTGTTGAAGTTTTGTAGCCATCGTGCGTTAAAAATCAGCATAAAGCTGAAAATCTCAATACAGAGGGAAAAAGCTTACGCACAAGCACAATTTTCCCTCAGAGAGTTACAGTGTTTGGTACAACACTAGTAACGACTTGATATCACTAGTAGTCTTTGAAAGGTGCAAAGATCACATGATTGCATTACAAAAATTGACTTCAAGATTTTATTATAGCCCTTTCTATTTCCTCAACAAATTTGAGGAACTGTGGCAGCGCGGCACTCGCATACATAATCTCAATGATGCGCGTAGTGTGTGAGCGATCGAACTGCAACTAGCGGCCGAAGTTGGAACTGCTTCCAGCGGGCGCGTCGGCACGCCAGGCACATCGTTGTGATTATGTATGCGAGTGCCACGCCGCCACAGAACTTCTCTTAGGCTACGGTATCAAAAATCACTCAGGGCTAGTCCCATCATTTCTCGCATTTGCTGATTAAAAACTCCGTCCAATTAGTGGTCTCGATAAAGTCATTTCTAAGTAAAGAGAGTCGAGTACTTTCCGGCTGTGCAGGGAGTGAATTTTGAAAACAATGCTGGTTGTCAAGTACTCATGAAAACTAATCATTGAAAATTGAGCAAATATATGCGAATAGCACAAAAAAAAAATTTAAATTATTGAGACAAAATGATCAGAATACTAATGTGACCTCCACAGTAAAAAAGATTTCCCTTCATTGAGGCAAACTTATCAATTCGGTGATTTTTGCACAGTAAAATAAAAAATTGGATTATGAGATTTCGACTGAAAACTCTCTTTGTAACCTAAACATGAGAAATAAGAGTTTTAAACGGCCCGACTGTAAACTTTAAGTTGCCATTGTAAGTTGCTTTGAAATTTTTGGGGTTTTATGCCCCAAAAAGTTCGTAAGACATTCTTCTGTTCTTTGGTATTAATAACTCCCGTCTGATTTATCATAGATGACAGTCCCTGTTCTTGCAGAGGGTCATAAAAATGTTCAAGTGATTTGGTTCAAGTAATAATTCATGTTGCAACTGAGTTATTCCTTATAAAAATACTGAAAATGTAACATTTCAGTCCCGCTTTCCTAGAGATTGGCACAAAGAAAGTCGGATTTTAAAGGCTCATTTAAGGCTCATCCAGGGATTTTTACGGCCCTGAGAGTCATCATATTAAAAGAATATTAAAAAATAGTGTACCTTTCCTTCGGAAAATACACTAAAAATTAGCTAGCCTTGAATTTCTTGGTGTTAAATACGAAGCCCTTCGTGTGTCAAGTTGAAGAAATGAAAACAAAAGCTACATACCTGATATCTGGATTGTGAACAAATTAGTCGTCCTCTTCTCCTGATTCAGACTCTAAAAAAAGGCAAAGGAAAAAATAATGAATTATAACTTGACAAAATCTTATTCTCATAATTAACAAGACCAAAGAAAGAGGGTAGTAGTTTTCAGAATTGCCGGATGTCCTCCTTTCCTTAGGATTCAATATTTATGTAAATACTAAAGACATTTTGCATATGCTCCTTCGTAACCCCTTGAACAGCCTAATGCTAATAATTTGGTGCAAGAAAAAAACTTATATTTTTAGCACAATTGAGCTGGAGTCAGTTTTGATAAAATAAAAAAAAATGATAACCCATGAAAATCAAAATGTCAGCGATTCCTAAAAGAGTACTCGATAGGGCCTCTCGGGGTTGCCGGAGAATTTGGAAAATGAAATTTCCAAACAAATTGTGGTAAAATTTTCTAACATTGGAGGTTATGCCAGATAGTTAAAGAGAAATAATTTGAAATAATTTTCAGGCAAAATTTGTCTTTCGAGACATCAAAACCATTTCAGAAAGCAAATTAAGGTGACTTAAGAATTTTTTCCCAACATTTCTGTCATTTCTCCTGACATTACCAGGATATCCTTGACGTTTCTTGGTATTTTTTGCCTAGGGCAACCCTTTCCATTATTTCTAAGACAAGTCATACTATACTCTTGGACTCATGGGTTATATTTGGTAACAGAGTGAAGTTCTTGATTTGTTGGATCACCAGTCTGAAGACTGACGTTTCGTTGCAGTGTTTCTGATAGATCTAACTAAGTGGGCTAAGATACACAATTAATCTATTTGAGTGCAACAAGTGTTGCGTCAACTCATGTGATTCATCTAAAGCTTGTTAAACAGTGTGATAAACGAACAGAATCAAGAATCACTTACCTTCTTCAGCACTCTGAAGCCATTCCACAAATTTCTTTATTTGTTCGAGGAATAAGTGTTTCCCTTTCATTGAATGACCTTCCTTGTACCATTTGAGGATGACTTCTTCAGATATCACATCAGCTGAAAATTAATAAATCATTGGTGCATTAGTATCACTTTTGACACAAGGGGTTCTGGGCTTGTGGTTTTTGGAATTATATTTCTTAGTTATTTTTTACCTTAAACGTGCATCGAAAGGACTGAAATTTCCCCATCATCAGGATGAATTCTCAACAAGCATTGCGCCAACTCTACAGCATGGCCATGCAAACGTTCTACTGCTTCGAACTAGATGATCAGTATGGATTAACTTCAACTATAGAATTAAGGCTTGGAATCTCTTAACCTTTATGAATGCAATTAGTTCAAGTGCAATTCGATAGATAATAACCTTTAAGAGTATTTGTTTTCAAAAAATTATAAAATATTGCGAACAGTTGAAACTAAAAAGTCCAAACATAGTAATATTCAAGTATTATCAAACATATCCGGCAGTATCCCTGAATTAAAGGCTGTTTAAAAACTCGGGGGAAAAATCCATTAATGTTGGATTGACTATCAAAGACTGCACACTATAGCTTTGCCGGCGTAAGATGCTGCATGATAAATATAACTCATGAGCTGATGATATTGAAGGAACTTACTTCTATAAAATAGGATAATTATTTTCTGGAAGATTTTCATGAAATTCATGTTTTCATAACAGAACTCTTGAATCTTGAGCATTAGCGCAAGCTCAGAACGAGTTGTAGTCGCAAAGGCAGCGAAGAGAGGTGAGAATTGCTTGAGATGCTTCAAAGCCTGATCAGCAACTAATTCCTCTTTTTTGTTCCACTCAGCTTGAGCCATTACAGTTGACCAAATCTAAAGGGAGCAAGTAAAATAGAGCATGAAAAGATCTGAGAATGAAAAATATTTCACTTTAATGATTCAGGCATAATTATAGTTATAATTTGGGCATGGAGATGAAGTCTGGGAGCGCAGATTTAAACAGAGTGATGAAGCGTTTAAGCAATATGACCTTAAGGTAAAAATGCAGCGTGATAGAAAATTACAGGCTGTTATCATACTTTTTAGTTTTGAGTACAATCAAAGAGAAACAAAAATAATTTTACTGCGATTCATACTATTGATTCTCGTGAGATGTACACTTGCTGTATTATAGGCAAGTTTTTGTGATGCTAGCAGAAACAAAAGCAACATTTTACATAGTGTACACAGAAATTTTTCGACAGATTTGTGTATCTTGCGCAAAAATTATTAAGGATTAGATAATGAGATGGGATAGTTGGAGAGAATTCCTTGATGAAAAGTTTATTGGGAAAATACGTTTATGTTCTGCTAGCTTTGGAGGCAATAAGCAATTTTTGAAATATTTTCCGGTGATGGCAATGTTTTAATTTTCCACCCGTTAAAAGTGAAAGCGGATAAGGATGTAAGAGCTTTTCACAAGTAAATGTTTACTGTTCTCACATTTTGAAAAATTTCTGTAGGCGCCCAGAAACACACTACAAAACATGTCTTTTTCTGATGGACAGCGCCCACTAAAAAGTCACCATGGTTGCGACCTTCATCGGACATATGGCAAAAATCGAAATAGCGAAAGAAATGAAATTAGCACTAGCCCTTTTTCCTATTGTGACCCTCTTAGAAACACTTCATTACTACTGTAATCAACCAGTATCGGAATGAATGCTGAGCAGTGAACATGCAAAAAAAAAAGAAGCTTCGATTGATGGATCTACTAAAAATAAAATTACTGCCGAAGGAAAGGAGAGAAGAGGTGATTAACATACCAGAGTGATAACTTCATTTTCAGGAATCATATTTTTTGCTGCTGTGTCTTTGACGTCACTAATTATGTCTTTAATAGGACGTTCTTCGGCCAAGTCTTCGGCTAATTGTTCTTGCAGGCAGCGTTTAGCCTTTTCATTTGCCTGTAACATTGCAATGAAATAATAGTGAACAAGGACCCACAGTTAAATGCTCAATAAGGCAGTTATCTAAATTTTCTTGGGAAAATCTTCAAACGTAATCAATGTGCTGGGAAAATCTTCATACGTAATCAATATGCTGAAGCTGTAGTTAAATCTGTAGTTGTTTTGACAACAGTAACTGGGAGAGAAATTACTTCTTCCGTGTAAAAAAAATCCCTATTGATGAATTTAAGGGTCAGTCAAGCATCAACCAGTGCCCATGGATCTGACACAAGCTTAAAAAAGTTACTCTAGCATGGGCTATATCAAAGAAAAGGAAACATTGAAAATACAGAAGACACAAACTACATAAAATTTTACCTGTGCCATGTGGAATTTGACAATGTCTGCTAAACCTCTACTTTCCAAGGCAGTGCGGAAAAATTCCTCAGTGCGTTTGTTGGGAGGGACAAATTCCAATAAACTGAAAAAACCAAAATTTTGCATTAAATCAAATAAAAAAAATAAAATAAAATTAGAAACCTGCTCCAATTGATACCTAAAAAGTTTCAAACTAGTTTCGTAATGGGAGTAAGAGTGATGATTGGTTGAGACAAAAATAACTTTTCCTCGTCAATCAGGAAACACTGCAGTCTGTATCTATTGCTTCTCTAGATCTCTAGATACATGTATCCATTTGAAGCTGATGTGGTGCAATCGATTCTCTTTTCTTAGCAAAAGATCACTTACAGATGGATACACCGAATCCATAATTTGTATCATGAGGAGAGGCATCAAAGCTGGAGAAATTCTATGACTTGATAGTTCTTCTGAAAATTAACTATTCAATCAGGAATTGATTAGTCTGGATATACTCAGAGCAGCAAGCCAAGTTGCGAGTCACTTATTACAGGATTGCCACAGAATTAAGAAAATGAAATTCCCTGACATTTCCCAGACACATTTTGGTGGAATTCCCTGACAATTGAATACGTGACAGATGGTTAAGAAGGCATAATTGAAAATAGTTGAAACCTCAAATCCATTCTAGAAAGCAAATGAAGGTGATTTAACAAATTTTTCCTCACCGTTTCATCATTTTCCCTGACTGTGGCAACCCTGTCATTAGTTTTGAGGAAAAGTATGCGATAGAGCCTTACATCATTGAGTCATGAACTTTGAAACTGGGAATCTACTCTCAGCGAGTGGAAGTACCTCTAATGTAAACAAAAAGTATTTACCGTCTTTCAAGGCCGCCTTTTTTAAGGGCTGCTATTAAACTTGTGAGTCCTTTTTCTTGCTTCCATGTTTCAAAAACTTCGAGTAGAAAATCCAAGGCAAGACAATCTTTGACGAGATGTTCGTTGATCAGGACCTGTAGAGTGGTTGGCGGCACAGATCCATTGCAAATCCACAGTGCTGTCATCCTAGCCAATTTGATTCTTTCTTCTTCATTGAAACCCTTGATGAACACTAATATTTTTTTAATTTCTTCATCGAACATCTTCTCCAGGTACTTGTACCGTCTCATTAACTTAACAAATACCTGCAACAGAACAAATAAAAAAAAACAAATTAATGTGGGGACTGAAGAGTGGTTCAATTTTTGATGCAGTGAAAGTAGTTAACATACAAGACCTAGGGCGCAAGGTAGGTGGCACAAATACAGGTCTAATGGCATTAAAAGAATATTTTTGGGACACTCAATATTAGAATTGCATTACTTTTTGGTATCTTATTGAATAGGCAGTGTACTGAACATTCAGGAAATTTGACATGTCAGTTGCAATCTTGGGATCTAGGCAGATGCCCTTGAAAAATGTGTAACGAATCTTGTTTGGAAAGTCAGCTTTTTAGCACTGGTTTAAACTTCTAGTAAATTTTATTAAATACCTGCTTTAATTTTGGTAGATTTTCTATTCAAACTTTAATGGAGATATTCTGATGTTTTCATCTTTAGTAGACATGTTTTAAGGATTCTGACATGACATTAAAACTATCAACGACATAGAATTTAACAGAAATATATGTGTACCTGCGGCCTCAAAATAAAAGATATTAAGCTGTTTTAGAGGAGTTTTTAAGCACTTTCCATGGTGCAAAGCCAGGGTTGACATAATGTAACAGAGTCGTACTCTACCTTGAGAGTACGCTTCTGTTAGGAGCACCTCGGACATACGTGAGAGATCGCGTATTTCCGAGGTGATCGCAGGTAGGTGCTTTGGTTGGCGCGTGCCGCGCCAGGGTTACATCTTTTGGGCATTACTATATAGCGGCGGCCAAGCGGCCAGCGAGGGGTCAGTGTTGCATACATGCGTACTTGCCGGTGATCGCCACCTTAGTGCTTTCTAGTCTCATCGCGAGTTAGGCTATTTCCCCATCCCTTACGCCTTTACATGGCGGATGCGCCGGGTAAAAAGCAAGTCTTTTAAATTAAACGATCCGGTACCGCGAGCCCTACTCCTTTGAGTCATTTTTTTTTTATCTTCAGTTTTTCGTAAACCCGGCAGAAGTTAGTTTAAGTGTATGTTTTCCATAAGCCCGGCAGAAGTTAATTTAAGTTTTTCAGTTTTTCATAAGCCCGGCAGGAGTTAGTTTAAGTGTATGTTTTCCATAAGCCCGGCAGAAGTTAATTTAAGTNTTCATGAGCTTCCAAAGAACTTTGATATTTCCTTTCTAGACAAATTAGCAGAGGAAAAAACTGTTATTATTTTGGGCGTTCCGAGACAAGAGAAAGCAAATGAGGCAGATTGTTTATTTTTAAATAAATTTTTAGAAAGCGCTACGGAGCAAAGCGGAAAATTGCATTTCATATCATTACAATCATTTGGTTTTGAAGACTGGACTCCTGGTAAACACCCAGAGCAGAGACTACTGACAGAATCAGCAAGATTCAAATTAGCAAATTTGATAAAAAACGTGATCGAGGTTAAATGTAATAAATTTGTAAGGGACGCCTATCTAGACGTAGTTGATGTAAATACAGACTTAGAGGTAAATTTTGTTGAAAGTTCGGAAAAATGGCCGCATGAGGAAGAGTTTTCAATTTTCGAGTTTTCGACGGCATCGAAGAGCAATGTCACGGTCTCGGACAATGACGAAGCTTCAGTGACCTACAGGAAAACATATCAGTGTTTTTCGGTTCACGATGAGTGTGACGCTGACCTTGCTGACACAGAAATGGAGACGGTAAATGAAAACAAAAGTGGAGCGAGTGTCACTGACGCGCCAACGAACGCCGAAAGAATTGCGGAACTAGGTATAAACATTAATCCGGACTTGCCTGACAGTAGTAAACGCAAAATGGAAACCGTCGTGGTTGAGTTTGAGGAGATGTTTTTAACAAAGGAAGAAATTTTTGGGTCTAATGCATCTTTGAGCAGTGTTTCAGAGACCTCCACGGAAATTGGCACAAACGAAGGGAGTGTCGCGCCCGTTACGGAGCGTGGAGATCCGCACATGTTCAAGATTTGCAAATCTGAGGAGGAACCAGCCGCATGTGGAACTCAGGAAGGATATCTTTACATTATTCAAATATTACCTATGAAATTCGTAAGTTATATCGTAACAAATGGTAAAAATGATCATTTTGATCAGCAAGTAATTGGAATAGATGCATCAAAACTCTTGCATCAAAATTCTTCTTGGAGGAGATTGCCTCTTAAAGATTGGAGATTTAGGAGGAAATTCGATCCTGGGTGATACTATCAATCCAGGTTTTTCGGTATCAAAACGTGTAACTTTTTTTTATCCTAATAACGATGTTTTTTTTTACAGGCCTCGATGAAATATTCTTTGATTGTCAGATTTTTTTTTTTTTTGAAAACTACAAAACAAAAGAAACAAATTAGACATTTTCTGTTCCAGAAGTTTTTTCTTCGACTTTTTACCGAATTAAAAAATCGGACAGTTTTTATTCATCTTTTTACTATCATAAAAGGATGGACAGTTTTTCCGTCTGTTTTGTCTGATACAAAATGGCGGTGGTGGATGGCGTCGAGTTTCGACCCCCTCCCCTCCTTCCCAAGAGACCAGGGAATGGGGGGATTTAGCTGTATAAAAAAAAACAATTAATTAGGACTAAAAATTGTATAAATAGGAGAATATTCGGATGGGTTGAGTTTAAAAAAAAAAGAGGCTAGAAAATATCAAAGTTGATGCTTGTACCACACTCTTTTAGAGTGCAAGTATGCAGATTATTTATTCTTCGATTCCATTTATTATGTGTTTTTTATTCTTTTTTTTTTTTTGGAATCCTACTTTCCTGAGACTTTTTAAATTAGGGCCTCTTCTCAGTTTTTCTTTTTTTTTGAATAGTAAGAATGTATTTTGTAATGTATGTATTTGTTCATTTCAGAAACTTATATTTTGAGGTGCTTCAATTCCCTTGAGTGGCAATGGGGATCCAGGATGATGCAGCAGTCGGTTGGGGGCGCTGGCGCAGAAGGAATCGTTCAGATGTCTAGTTCCGGGTGCGAGAACCGGACCGTTCACCCACTCAGTTGCGCAGTGTTGTGGAGCTGTCTGTTTACCCGTCCCGGCCGTTGGGTCCCATCTCGTGGTCTGATTGATCGTGGAGCCTCAGGACTAGGCTAGTTTTCCGGTCTGGAGCTATTCCTGGAGCATCAACATCGTCTCTCAGACTGGCTGCTGGTCTACGTCCCTAGGATGGTGTCATCCAGAGGGCCTATGGCCGTGTAGGATTCTCTAATCTGGAGCTACTGCGAGAACAACTTTCATTCTCTTCCCGGGCTGTCAAGCAGGAAGACTCTGCAGGTCTACATGGACGGAGGGCGCAGCTTTTGGACGTTCTTCCCTCATTCATGGCAGCGGACATTTTCTGTCAACCCGGGAGATGTCAGCGTCAGAAGCCTCTTCATGGTTGGTGGGGTGGGCGCGACTTTTGGGGCGTTCTTTGCTCAATCTTATGGCAACCTACCTTTCTTGGGAACCTTTCCTGCGGCGTAACGGACGAGGGTCATTGGCAAACCAGGCACAAGGGACTGGACGGATAGCGATTCTGGAGTAACGGCAAGGCGCTCGGACAACCGACAGTTGGCGGCTGCTCGCGCTCGGCAGTTCACTCAGGGGGAGCGGATGCATCGGTTTTTTTTGTAAATTAGTTATTAGTTTGGGGAAAATGTAATTATCAATATTATGGGGGGACTATTGAAATTTTGTAACCTACTTTTAAGTATCTGAATACAGTAATGCAAGGGTTCTGACCACCGAGAAGTATGCATGGGGGTGACGTGTCTTCAAAATTTTGGGGGTTCAGTGCACCACCTACCGTTTAGTTTTTTTTTTTTCTTCTTTTTTTTTCTTAGGGAGGGGGCGTGTAACAGAGTCGTACTCTACCTTGAGAGTACGCTTCTGTTAGGAGCACCTCGGACATACGTGAGAGATCGCGTATTTCCGAGGTGATCGCAGGTAGGTGCTTTGGTTGGCGCGTGCCGCGCCAGGGTTACATCTTTTGGGCATTACTATATAGCGGCGGCCAAGCGGCCAGCGAGGGGTCAGTGTTGCATACATGCGTACTTGCCGGTGATCGCCACCTTAGTGCTTTCTAGTCTCATCGCGAGTTAGGCTATTTCCCCATCCCTTACGCCTTTACAATAATTTCTTCATTACACATTTCCTGACTATTTATGCTTTTCCCTGACTCCATAATTCTCGGATTCCTTGACTATCCCCTACATTCTAACTTCCACTTTGATTATTTTTTCCTTTAGATTATTCTCGCTTCTGCACCAAGCAAAAAGTCCCTGACTTCTCTGGTTTTCCAGATTGCAGGCAACCCTGACACGCACAAGCGCTCATGAAAGCAAGCCGATTGATTAGGGGTAAAAATTACAGTAATCTAAGCTCTAAAATGGTCCATTCAGGGGCATACATGAACGTGTAAATGAAATGGGCCTGTTGCAAACTTTTGCTAGAGTAAAAATATGAGTTGTTTCCCATAGATGATGCCTGAAAAATCACAATGAGCACATCGGCAAAGTCTGAAATGCACTCATATCTTCACAATCTGCGTAAGAAATTTACGTGTTTTTGAGATTCCCGCTTCAAAAACGATACTACCGCACAGGTGAACATTTTGCTAGAGGAGTCGCTCCATCGTCGGCAATATTCATCATAGCCGACGCTCCCGCAGTTTCGCGCGTAATTAGAGGAGAGTTCAAGGTCAATCAAGGTAGGCGAGGAAAATAGGAACATAAACACGCCGATTGTTATCTGGTCTTATACTGGTCAGGTGTTATCTCGTCCCATCACACATGTTTTGGCGGATTGGCGTCGGTCATGACGAATACTGCCGACAATGGAACGACTCCTCTGACAAAATGTTCACCTGTGCCGTAGTACCTTTTTGAAGCAGGAAGCTAAAAAAAACACAAATTTCTTGCGCAGATTGTGAAGTTATGAGTGCATTTCAGGCTTTGCCGATGCGCTCATGGTGATTTTTGAGGCATTATCTATGGTAAACAACTCTTAGTTTTACTCTAGCAAAAGTTTGCAACAGGCCCATTGACAAGCAATAAAATATATTAATTACATGAGTGGCAAAAAGTGCCAGTGAAGTAAATAGAGCTTAGGAATTCTGAGAGGGAATTACCTGTTCGAATTCTCTCAACGAAGGCAAATCAGCCGGTGCCTCAAAGACGCATACATTTGTTTTACATAATTTGTCTCCTTCCTGAGCGATTGATCCACCGGGAACTAGAAGATAAAAAAACTTATGAAACAATTTGATAAACAAGATTATTAGAGAGGGGGACCAGAAATATCATGTTTATTGGAGTAAATTTAACTTTTTTTCCTCAGCATTTTCTTGGTTTAGGGGGAATGCCTCGTCGATATTCAGATTATGCTGATTGCTATCTAGTATGAAATAAAATTTCTTCTGCGGGAAGGACATCTCCTTCTGGAGACAAGAATTGCTGAAATTTCAAGATGGTTATTGAAACTTCTCCCCTACTAATTTTACCACATCTTGGAATTTTTTAAATTGGTTTGCGATCCATTGGAGTAAGATCGTTCGATGAGAATGTTTTCAACATTTGACACATCATAAATAATACAAATAATAGCTTGAAAACATTTAGCATTAAAAACTAAAAATCAATACTTAGAAAACCAAGTTGGTATCTTCGCTACACAATTTGAGTCTCCACCTTGAGGGCTCTTTTGCCTGATTCCATCACATTTAAATAGTCATTTAGAGTGACACTGATTTCGACTAAGACTGATTCAGGAACTCTCCAGTTTCCTTCAATTCTTCTCTAGAGTAAATGTAAAAATTTTAGTTTTCTTTACATTCATTTGTGCACTAAATCAAATCAAGACCGGCATGGACTTGAAACCATTCACTTTCAAGAATTCCTCACCAATTTTCTGATTGAGTTAATCGGGAATTAGAGACAGGGTAATACCTTCATGATCCAGCCTGTTCTAGTGAACAGCCTAAATACCTGAGAAAAAATTCAAACTACTAAGATTCCTTCACTCTAAAATATTTAATCGGGTTTCAGCTGTTAATATCATCCAACTATCCTATGTGACTTGAACTATTGAAGATGTTTGCTGCCCACGCCATCTTTCAAGCGGAAGTAGATTCTTTCCCGTCTTGCTGACCTTGCTCTTTTGCTCAGCACAGCTTCGTAGAACAAGTTTACATTTTTTGACAAGTCACAAGCAAAAGTCGATAAAGTTTCTTTAGTAAGCATAGAAAAATAAAATAAAATTTAAAAAAAAAAAATTGAATAAAATACCCCAATTAAATTAAATAAAATTGATATTGATTCAATTATTGTCTTTAATTAAAATTTTAAATAATATGATGGGCCTTGCCATGGGTAATTTGCCTATTTTAGCCCCAAAATACCTTTAAATTGACTTCATTTTCCACGAGCTCAACAGAATTTTGTTCTTTTTGACTGAATTGACTCGATAGACACTCTACTTCAAGAACCTGAAGAGTTTTTGCTTGTGACTCGTCAAAAAATTTAAACTCGTTCCACCAAGCTGTGTTATGCTTTAAAATTGTGCTAATAAAACTTGACTATCAGGTCGGATAGTGAGATACCTAGATGAATGAGGTTTTACCATATTATAACGTAGTGCGGTAAGAATTTCATCATTCCAGGATATATTCAGAAAGAATTATTTAGAATGAAAACTCTTGCTTACCCAGCAGACCTCCCGCGATGAGGATGTCGAATAAGGCTTCGCCATATCGACGGTAGTCAACTTTAGATCCTGCCGCATCTAAAAATTTGAAAATAGCTTCTACGTCAGGCCCAGCATTGTTGAGACCTGCAAGTATATAATCTCGGAAACCTGCAGGGTCATACTTCTCTTTTTCATCTGAAAGCAGAAAAAATTCATTTTCATTGAACAGAGGATATGTTTTGAAACTCTACTGATTGTAATCAGCTAGCTGAGCAAGTGTAGAGCTTGGTGATTTTTTTTAAAATTTTAAATATTTATGTACTTTAGATAAGTCCTTCCTCAACGAAAATTTAGTCTGATTGTTCCGAGGCAAAAAACCAAAATGGCAATGAAAGTCAAGTCCTCAGCCACATCTGGCATTACTGGGACTATGCGACTAGAATATGTTTCAATTACAAAAAAAAAAAGGAAGTTTTAATGTTTCATTTCACCGAGACATAATTTTTGTCTGCAAGAAAAGAAGACAATTTAGGACAAAAAAAGAACTGTAGAAGTTGTCTCATTTTCAAAATCTAGAGAGCGTAGTAAGAAGCTGCAAGAGCTCAGCATCCCAGAGAACAAAAGATCTTTAACCAAATCATCCAATCAGAGATGCAGGAAATTCTTTTCATTCTCATTTTTCGAAAGTGCCTTCCTTACTTAAATACACCTTTCTTTTCATCCTCAGAAATTTCAAAGTGGTGGCCCTATAATGGCTCTGTACGTAAGAATTGCTACAATTTTGAACACCCCCCCCCCCCAAAAAAAGCTATTGGGCCAGCTTTTGTATTCTTGCACAGAACCCCTTACAATCGCGCTGTCAAAGAGTTTTTTCACACCTGCACCCATTCATTGGTACAATTTTTTTTTTTTTTAACACGAGAAAGAAATTGAAAAGAGTCCAGCAAATTCAGCAACAATGATGGAGTAATTTAGGGCTGGCTCAAAATAGAGGGAAAAGGATGGGTACAAGGGAAGAAAAACCAGCCAGGGGGATATTTGGACCGCGTTAAACAGAAAGGAACCAAGTCACATCAGCTAGTGCCAAATTTAACTCGGCAATTTAATTTCTTACAAGAGAACGTTTGTGTGGATTCCTTTGAAAATTTTAAGCAATGTGCTTAGTACTATTGAGAAAATCCACTGAAATTTGCTCGAGAATCCACACAACCGTTTTCATGTAAAAGAATAAATTGCCGAACTAAATTTGGCAATAGCTGATGTGGCTTGGTTCCTTTCTGTTTAACGCGGTCCATTTAATCCTTCAGTAAGAGGGAGTCTCATGACATTCTGCAGCCAGCCTGGACAACTCAGGCCCAGAGAGCAGGAAAAGACTCTCTGGTGAAGCTGCCTACTTTAATATGCTCAAGGATGTCAAGGTGAATTCAGCATTTGATGGGACCTTCAATGATTATCTCAGTGCTCAGAAATATCAGTGTTTGAGAAGTGTGAACAACTCAATACGAACATGTACTAGTGAGAAGCACTTGCATAATTATCAGATTTGATCTGCAACGATTAGAGGTTTGCTTGTTTCAGTGACCAAGTTCTCGTGTATTCTTCTCCTCGCTTATGTACTGAGGCAAAAGAGTTCTTTTACCTAGGTATAGGATTACTTTTTGGGCAAGACTTTTTTTTTTTAAGAAAATTTAGTTAAAAAACATTGGTTACTGTCCAATGCAATAAAGATGTCAAAGTGACTGAACGTTTTTAGAGACAGGGTTGCCACAGACTTTGGAAAATTAATTTTAAATCCCTGACATTTCCCTGTCTTATTTTGGTGGAATTCCCTGATAATTGAACAAATGCCTCACTGTTAAAAAGACACAGTTAGAAATAGTTTTTAGGCAAAATTTGATGCTCAAAACATCAAATCCACTCAAGAAAGCGAATAAAAATGACTTGACAGTTTTTCCCTGACTTTTACTGGTATTCCCTGACTGTAGCAACCCTGTACAGAATATTTGAAAATTCAACTACTCAAATAAATTGGACAGAAGAGAGAGAAAAAAAGAAGAATATAAATAAACTAATTTAGTACACAAGGTTAATTGGTATTGACAAATAAAAAAAACCCTGTTCATAGGATTGTGCTCATTAGAGAGAGCAATCAGAAAATAAAGGCTAAACCTCAAGTGAAAGTTGTGACTGCTTTGGAGTAAAAATACAGAGAAAAGAGAGGGCAAGAGAAAGAAAGTGAAATTCCAAAAATTTCAGCTAAGCATATAATAGCCTGCTGAATTGACTGATTACTGAGGGGTCAAGCAAGCTGTGACCCAGCAACTGGTATCAATTTATTTTCACACTGGCAAGGACACTTGCTTACAGAACAGTTCAACAAGACAGTATCAGTTCAACAATCAACATCAGATCTTGGAGCAATACACTCAGAGAGAGAGAGAAAGAGAGAGAGTAAATGTTTTTGAAGTTTTGCTTCTTTGCTTGTAAACAACGCGGTTTTCCTTATTGACAGAGTAGTTAGGAACTAGTAAAATTTCAACACCACAAATTCTCAAGAACTCAAACAGATACAAGGATCAGAGCTCCAGCAAACAGAAAAAAAGAGGGTGCAGAGGAGGGAGAAAAGGGCCAGAGATGAGAAGGGGGGACTGAATCTCTTGAGAGAAAGAAAGGCAAATGGGAATAGAGACAAACATTTTGTAACTAAAAAATGTTCGGTTAATTATAAAAAGCCGTAGAATTTCAATGAATATTTTTCCAGAAAATTCAAGATCACGAAGAAGTACGGGTGAAGGTAATGATTGCTGCACATTTCGTTCCTCTTTTTTGAAGGAGGATTTTAATGGGAATTAATGTACAGGCCCGACTGACCTATGTACTCCATAATTGAGGGAAAAATGGAAAAGAGCGAAATGGGTAAAATATGGTTAAAAATGTCAAAATTTCACTGATGGGAGAAACTGTGGAGCGTCATGAAAACTTTTAGCATTGACAACTGGCAAGGTAGGGATCAAAAGAATGAGTATTTATTTGAAAGGCTTGAGGATAAACATTATGCTGAAATTTTTAAAAAAAAACGACTGAAGGAAAGAAGTTGGGCCCTTGTGTAGTTTCTTATCAACAGTACATGGACTTGTTCATAAAAAAGGCAGCTTTGAAGATATTCTGAGCCTATTCAATGCTTGAATCTTCCATTAAGAATTTTCCATACAGCCTTTTCTTAATCAAAACACGAGTGATTTTAAAAAAGCTTTTAACAATCCTGTCTTCTATGATTGAATATCTAAGGATGACTGACTCACATTCAAATACTTGCCTCCACGCTAAGACAACCATTTACTAAGTATGCATTGATAGTAAGGCAGATCTTACATTGAAAGAGTTTCTGGCTTTCTTCATCCATCCAAGAAAGGCAAATGAAAATGGAAATTATCATTTTCCAGTTCAAAAAAAATCTTATAATCATTGAAAGCCAAATAATTCAAAATTAAGTAATAGTAGGATACAAAGCTCATGGCGAAGATTAAAAAATGATTTCTAAGTGTCCTTTAGAGAGGTTTCATTCATCCATCCAAGAAAGGCAAATGAAAATTAAATCGTCATTGATTCTCAGGACTGTTGGTTTAATCATGAGAAACCCGTGATTTATTGAAAACAAAATTGAAGTTATTGGCAAAGATGGTTCTAATTATTAATACTGTCAGCAGTGCATGGCTGGTTTTCAGATCATGTTTATGTATTCTAAAGTATCTTTTCAGTTCTTACAGGAATTTTCTCAATTTATCAGGAGGAAGAGGAATTCGGAACCTAGTTTCTGGGGCCAGCAAAAAATTCTGAGGAACATATTCTACACGCCTCATGCTTCAACTTGAGAGAGGTACTTGCAACGAAAACATGTTTGTTAAAAAATAATTGTTTCAATTGAATTTTCAAGACAATTCAAAGGGGGTGTAAAAAGCAGGGAACGTTCAGACCATATTTTGGGAGAAAAAAACTTCAATTTAAAGCTGCTCTGTGAAGGTTCCTCAGCGACCCGGGGAGGGTAGATAGATCATATCAAATGATTGAATCAGAAAAGAATTCACATCAGTGGAACACACTTTAGATAGCTTATTAGTTATTTGTTATCTGTTGACAAATAAGAGAGATGGAGTACTGAGAGGTCTTAAAAGCAAGGAAGCCTTTATCTCAGCAAAGGCTTGAAGCTAGAATTTAACGGAAAAATTGAAAGAAACTTACCTCTTTTACGAGTCTTGATCCGCTGCCCTGAGAGTACTGGCTTTTCTACCTTTTGACTCATACAATAACTGGCTGAAAAATGAGGAAAGAAAAAAATACAATTAGTTATTTGAAAAGGAAAAAATAATGCAGCTACTACTACAAGCAAATTCTTCAAGGAAGCTACTGGACATTAAAGCACTGCACCGATCATGCCAAGATCTTCCGATTTCAATTGTTCTTTCGCAGCAAAACCTTCTCACTTGCAGAGTCTGTCTGACAAACTCAGAGAAAATGGACAGTGCTAATTCCTACTTAGTAATCCTGGTAAAATGATTGATTGTGTGTGAGTGTGGTAGTAAATGCTGCGAAGAGAAATGACCGGGCTACGAGTGGAACGCAAAAGTGTGAATTTTCACTCTTCAGTAGTGCAGTTTCACCCAATGAACTCTGTAATATGAAACTTCAAAATCGGAGAGATTGAAATATGACATTCTTGATCATGGAGAAACATCAATATTTAAGAAAAGCTGATAAAACAGCTGGAAACTTAGATCCCTTAACCCCTCGCCTACGTATGCATTTAACAAGATGCATCTGTCATAACCCTTGATCCCTATATTCCATATTGGCGTACAATAAGTAATTTTCCCCTTCATTTCAACTTTGATTCAGGTGTGCGAATTTCATTCCAAACATGCCTAAAAGTTTGACTGAAAGTTCCACGCCCACAACAAATTCACTTTTTCAAGTAAGAAAGTAAATTTTCTTTAGTCCTCCCATGGTGATCCTTCATGCTCTTTGCAGCTTTGACCAGATAACCTGTAACAGTGGCCGCGTAAGGGTGGGTGGCATTGGCAGTAGCCAAGCGGTCACGAGCAAATGTCGATTCTGTGCACCCCAATACGCAATAAGACTGTGAGTGACAATTTCAAATGAAGTAAACATGATCACAGTTGTTCCTATTACTATTCATATGTGTACTTAGTTGAACATCAGCCTATCAAGGAGTAAATGAACTTGGTTCTGATCGGATGGGTTGGGCACGAAACGAACGTTCCGAGACGTGTAAGAATGCTGCATGCTCCAGCATTTCCATAGAACCCAAAGATGACCTGATTAATACCGGAGCAAGGACACTGATAACCCAATCAGACCAAAAGCCTCATTATTAGAACTTGGCCGGTTTGAGATTCTTCAAAGTTGCACGAGATGCCTCTCAACATTAGGTTATGGCAGGCTAATACTACTTGAGGTTCAAACAAAATTGAGGACTAAGCCATGGAACGAGGTTAAATTTCTATTAAAATGTAAACATGCTTCAACAAAACTGATGATACAATGTATGATAGGACTAGACTTCACTTTAAAAGAGGAGACTAAGGATTCAACGCAGATAGGACCTGTTGAAAGTTGGTATCATGACAGCCCAACACTTACTGGCGAGTAAGATCCTAATGCCGGGTGTTTCGGGTGCTTAAACTTACAATTAAGGAATCAGAATCATACTTGGCAGCAAGAGTAAGTACTATGCCTAGTGAAGGAGATAAAAGCACAGAATGGGAACCCAAAAGAGAGAAAACAGGCTCGATGAGAGAGAACAATAGACATGGAATCTTCTCTGCTAATACGAACATGATAAAACAGTAATAGTTGGAAATGAATATCCTAGAACGGGAGCACATCTTAAATGTTCGGTTAAAATAACAGATAATAGACTTTTGATTCTACTGCAAACTTCAAATTCTGTATTAGTGAGTGTTTCATGGAGAAAACACAGATTCTATTCAAGGTTACCATAAAAAACACAGGGGCTGATTTGCTTCCTCCAGCGGTGCTTTCCGAGGGACTGGAGTAACCCGAATCGATCGAAGGCCTCGGTTGCAGGAGCAGGAAATTATATTTAATTAAAGATACTAAAAGAGCAAAAACTGCTCATCACTGACAGGAACAAAGCAGGAACAAGAGAGACATGGCCTAGGAGGCTTTGAAGGGGCAGCAAGATGGAAACACTATTCCCTTCGAGAGAACCCTTTTCAGAAAGAAAATATAAGTGAAATAAAGAAAGAAGGTACGGCCAGTTCCTTAAATATATATTTAAATAATTTACTTACGATTTAAACTGTTAAATTACAGCTCTGGTGAACGAGGAAAGGAGGACAACAGATGATTCACTGCTTGATGAGTGGGTAAGAGAATGGGAGAGGGGAACAGGAATTAGAAGCTGAACAACGTGTGACGGCGAGTTCTGATCAAAGGTCAAACTGTATCCGAAAACGCTCGTGGAAAATTAAAAATTTTGACTATTCAAGTGTTGATGAGAGTTATAAATTCAAATAAAGGGACAAAAAAAAATTTACAGAGAGGTTAGCGATAAAATTTTGCGGAAAGTTTCAAATATCCGTTATTAGTGACGGACGGAAAAAGTCACTACCTTGGATACCGTAGTAAATGTATTTTTTTAACAAGTTACCAACCGTCGGAATTTCAACCCATGTCATGTCTCTCTGAGCAGCAATGATTAGCATTTAGTGAGGCGTCGTTGTCGTACTTAATAATTTTAATATAGAAAGTAAAAATACAATTTAAAATAAAGAAATAAACGGAGTCATTAAGCTCTTCCTTTAATAATTCCAGAGAGGGCCATATTCCAGAAATAATACTGTCCTCAGCGAGAACTGCTCTAAGGTTCAGTTAAATGTTTGGTTCAAGAGACGGTACCATTGATTCAGCGCCAAATTTGAATTGACGGTCATGTAATTATTGAGCGTCTGCAGTTCAAAGAGTAGATCCTTGGAGTTGAATAATTGTTTCTTTGAGGGTTCTCGCTTTTCTTGCTATGGAAACATGTCGCAAAATTGTGTACCGGATGCACCTCTGAAGTTGACAGTGAGTATTCATAATGGACTATTTTCTCTGACAATGACTTTTTCACAAAAAATAAATTCAATTCCTTTCCGAACCACTGAATTTTGTCATCACTGAAGAAACTGTGTCAACTGCCTGGCGTGGTACATGGACCGCGTTTAGCAAAAAGGAACCAAGCCACATCAGCTATTGCCAAATTTAACTCGGCATTTTAATTTTTTTCAAGAGAAAGTTTTCCGCGGATTTCTTTTAAATTTGTGAGGAATTTGCCTCTCACTGTGCAAAAAATACAATGAAATTTACACCGAAATGCAAGCAACCGTTTTCGTGTAAAACATTAACTTGCCCAGTTAGGCAATAGCTGATGTGGCTTGCGGTTCCTTTCTCCCAAAACCTCAAAAATTTTAAGTTTGGCCCAAAGCAATTCTCCAGTGCTGCCGGCGTAAGGAAAAACGCCGCAAGAACATTATTCTAGAGTTGCCAAATTTCCCTGGATAAAACAGGTATTTTTGAGGAAAGATATCCGTATTTTTCCTTGAAATTTGCAGATATTTATTTGGATTAAGCTGCGAACAGAATTGCCTGAACATTTTGACGAAAAAGTATTCAAAATTTGCCCAGTAAGTCGTTTTTAATTGAGGGAAATCTAGCAACGCCTAGGGGCTTATACGGCGTTTTTCCTGTGCGCACGGCAGAGAAGTTGATGGAGTTCGTGTAGAAAGAGCCTCCTCTACTCACGTGCTTTCACATGGAACATAGCAGCGGCCGCAGTTCACAAAGCGGCAAGGGACCAAGCCACATCAGCGATTTTGAAATTTGATCGGGCAATTTAATTTTTTACATGTAAACTGTTGTGCGAATTTTAGCGCAGATTTCAGTGAATTTTCTGCATAGCACGAATAAATTTCCTTCAAATTTTCAAAAGAATGCGCACACAAGTCCTCTGGTAAAAAATGAAATTGCCCAGTAGAATTCGGCAACAGCTATAATCGACGGTGAAACTACCAAACCACGTATCTCGGTTTGCGACGTCGCAGACTTCCTGTCATACTTTATTTTTTAAATGAAAAACTACTCAACGTCCAGTCTTGAAAATTTCTGTGATTTTTCCTCTTCGTGCGGAGAAAATTTCAAGGAATGATATTGATTTGGTCTACTTTAAAAAAATAAAATGCGAGCGTAGATTTTTAAACACCGCAAACGAGATACGTGGTTTGGTAGTTTCACCGTCGTAATGTGGCTTGGTTCTTTTCGAAGTAGAATGAACGGAAGACGCCGACGTATGCTTTCAGTTCCTTTTTCCCATCGAGCCGAGACTTAACGGCCTTGATCATAAAACTACTTCCGGCAGTGACGTCACCTCTGTGGGTTCTCAAGATCATGATTCGCTTTGTTCACTTTGGTCTGCGCGTCAAAAAGAGCGTCGGAGAGCGAGGCACTGAGACGCGGATCAAAGTCGACCGAATTGAAGGCATCTTCATTGTACGTACGGTACGTCGACACGCCATTGCCACACGCGCGAACTCTGTCGGCCAAATCTCGAAGTAACGTCGTTCGTGTCTCTGTGAAGAAAATGTAGAGAGTGGTAGTGTAAATACTGTAAAATCAACTGGCGCAAACCGCGAAATATGAAATCACGCGGAGCACTGGGCACTGCAACCTCCGCCATCTACCACCCTGTGGATCGAGGCAATGAGACAGGTCGGACATGACATTTTTTACGAAAATCGCAAATTTTTATGTTTATTTCGTCATATTTTGAACATTAGGTAAGGGGCGCTTCTGGAAGAAAATTTCACAAGGAAACCAAAGGAACCACTTTTAGAGCCGTAAGGTTTTGTATACCTAAACGGAGTTACAACCGCTTGAAGTTTCCATATTTTGTCCGACTTTTCCTATTAACTCGATCCACTGTGTGCCGTGCTGAGGAAAAACGCCGTATGAACCTGCAGGAATTGCCAAATTTCCTTTGATAAAACACGAATTTCCCGGTAAACTTAAAAATATTTTCCTCCCAATTTTTCAGATAATTTTCTTCGCAATTTCACCTAAAGTTCTTGAAAATTTCAAGGATAAATATTTATAGCTTCCCACAAAAATAAGCAATTATTCGAAGGAAATTTTGCAACTGTCGGATGTTTATGCGGCGCTCATCCTTAGCACGATAGACCTGCTCTGCTGTTCTGAGGAAACACGGCATATCGTTGGTGAAAATGCAGAGGTCAGTCCGTAGGGTTTGGGCTTCTTGGATGCCGAGTGGGGCACCCCGGAGAGGTTGGGCTCCTTGAATGCTAGGACGGGTAGCCACGGAGAGGTTGGGCCTCTATGATGTCAGACGGGGAAGCCCCCGGGAGGGGGTCTCTTGGATGCCGAGTGGGGTAGCCCCAGGAGTGTTGTTGCCTAAAAAACATGTATCACATTGCTAAAATTCGTACCCTGTTGCCTGGATCAATGATTTGACTTCAATTGGCCGGTTATGCAAAATGACTAACGTGAAGCACGAATGGTGGTATCATAATTTTCCATTAAGATTACATAGTGGGTTGAAGGCGCTCTTCTGTATCGTATCTGAGTGGCCCTGTACAACGATGATGTCCAAACATGTTCATAATTTCGTAGGTAGTCTTCAAACAAACCATAATTTTGGAAAATGCCCGAAGAGCACTATTGCACGTTCCAAGATTTTTATACTTCCGTAAGTCTTATTCCAAAAAATAGGATCGAAAACGCGTGGTCTAGATTGTTTTTTTTTTTTTAGTCTCCTTGCTTTGGTTATCGTATTCTCATGCTAGACTGAGAGGGTGGCCGTTTACAAGATCGCAACTTACTCAAAAATGGTTGTGAATCCAATAAGTTTTGCACGGAAAAAATGAGCTTTCGACGATGAGCTGCGAATAATCAAAATGGGAGAAAGGGTACACCGTCCACTGCACTGGTCCATTTGGAAGGCGTAGAGCGCATTGGATGGAGCATGGATGTCCTCCGGGTTTCCACGGGCACTAGATGACCGTAGGTTTCCAACGGTATATATGCCAAAGTGTTGGGGAAAAAATAAAAAAAAAAAGTAGTACCTATATAATCTTTTGATGGTCCACGAAGAGAATATATATTCTTGAGACCACGCACTGTCTTCTTACCTATGGTGTAAAAATTACTCAAGGAAGTCAATTCTCTGATTCACTTATTGGTGAGTTGTCGTATTGTTTCAACTAAAGCTCCTAAACTAGTTTTAAGTATGGATAAACCCTATTTATAATCTCAATGATCAAGAGCAGGTTCACAACGCTAATAATTGCAGAAATGCGTATCTCGTGATGAAATATGTCATTTTCCAATCATACAATGTTTGATCTGGCCGTATGAGATCAAACTAAATCTTATCTGATAAGGAATTGTAAGCGTGAAACTCTTTTATCAGTCTTTAAATGATTAAAATCCGCCAACATCAAGTTAAAAACACTAATTGCAAAAATACGTATCTCTTGATGAAGTGTCAATTTATTCCTAGGGCCGAAAACGCGAATCTCGGCATTTCAGCCGTATTTTCTGACAGTTTAAGAAATTATTCAAAATGCTGATGGAGTCTGAAAAACCATCTTATTCTTGCTATCCTCAAGAATTATCACCCTTCTACTAACAATAAAAAGGAATGTCCCTGCTAAAAATGATGAGTAGGCTATTCAGAATTCGCCGACTCACATGAGTAGAATTTCCCACTTATATGAGTAGAATTTCCTACTTATATGCAGGCCCGCCACATCCCATCTCGGGCCCTGGTACCAGTTTTAAGGTCAGGGCCCCAAGCACGGAGGGGGAGTCCGAGGGGCATCTCCCGAGAAATTTTAGAATTTATACGACTAATCGGACGCATTTTGAAGCTTCCATAAAGAATTTTTCCATCAATTTCTGCGGAATAATTATTTTTTTTTCTACTTTCAGCACAAAATACTTGCGAATTGTTGCATTCAAAACATCTGGAATTTTTTTTTTTTTTTTTTTTTTTTTTTTTTTTTTTTTTTTTTTTTNGCCTCCTAACTTTTCGACTTCCAGTCCGCCCCTGGCCAACATCAAGTTAAAAACACTAATTGCAAAAATACGTATCTCGTGATGAAGTGTCAATTTATTCTTAGGGCCGAAAACGCGAATCTCGGCATTTCAGCCGTATTTTCTGACAGTTTAAGAAATTATTCAAAATGCTGATGGAGTCTGAAAAACCATCTTATTCTTGCTATCCTCAAGAATTATCACCCTTCTACTAACAATAAAAAGGAATGTCCCTGCTAAAAATGATGAGTAGGCTATTCAGAATTCGCCGACTCACATGAGTAGAATTTCCTACTTATATGCAGGCCCGCCACATCCCATCTCGGGCCCTGGTACCAGTTTTAAGGTCTGGGCCCCAAGCACGGAGGGGGGGTCCGAGGGGCATCCCCCAAAAAATTTTAGAATTTATACG